GACGGACAGTTATGGCAAAATGGCAGCAGATCTCGTGATGATGAATGATGATCACAATTAAAATAAAAATTATTTTAAACAATTACTTGGATAGGGGCATCTCTGCTCAGACTGCTGTCCCCGCGTCCCGGCAACAGATTAAGGAAGAAAATTAACGGAGAAAATTAACATTAATATTGTTCTGACACACTATAATACAAATACAGGAGATATAGAACAAAGCTTAATAAACAATTGGTTCACAGGATAACACTTGGAAAATAATTTTGTTCAAAAGTGCTTTTACTTTTTTAGTGTAATATGAATGTAATATGTACCAATACATATACTGTATATATGTAAATGCTGTACACCTTATTTTTCTGATTATAGAATGAAGACAACATCGCACTAGATTATAAGGCACATTTTTAATAGCTCCATCGCTCAACTTGATAGGGGTATTATTTGATATTGTACAGTGAAAAAAATAAAATTTCACACAAGTCTCTCCAGAGAATAAATCTCACCCCTGCCAAACTATGACAAAAACTGCGACTTATAATCCGAAAAATACGGTATATGAAAGACTCATTGCCTGCAGTGTGAGTGAGATATATCAAGCCTTTATTATTAATTATAATGTTGATAATTGGCTCACAACTGTACAAATCGAATAAAACATTAGAATAGAACAATTAAAACATCAAATATTCAGAGAAACCTGAACAAAGAATATAAACAAAACTAAACAATACATGTACATAGACATCCAATCTCCTCAAACAACAAATAACTAAATGTTCAATCACATTTTACTCAATCAAAAAAATTGAAATCGCTGGATCTTGTCGACATAAACACTGCTATTGAGATATATAAAACACATGCTCTCACAGCGTATCAAGGAGAAGTTCAAACCAGGGTGAGTCCATGACCTCACAGGTTGCTCTGAAATAATAATTAACTAAACATAGCTTTAAGTGTATAATTTAACACCATTATTCATTAAAAGTGTTTTTTTTTTTGGCTGAAAGCTTAATTTTTCACCCGTCTGTCACAGCAGCCATTCCTCAGGACGATCCACTTTTGTCAATCAAGGTGGAATCTTTCACTGTCTGGATTTGACTCATATTGACGGATATATTAAAACACTTCATCACGATCAGTCTCTTCAGCTGTTAGCATATTAAAACGCTCTAATCCTGCATAAATATTAGACGCTTCAGACGTTACAGTGATAGATGGAGGGGTGCGGCAGAGCAACTTCCACCATACAGAGTGACGGCAGAATTGGAATCTTACTCAATAATGAAGGAATAACTTTGCACTGACTGTGTGCCAAAGAAAAGACAAGATAAGATCTGTGGGCATGGTGCAGGCATTTGTTGTCACGTGTCTTATGAAATCATTCTTGTCGTGCATACTGTATGTGCAGTGATGCTGGACTTGCACAAGTGAGTAAGTATGTAATCTTTATTCACAAACCACATTCTATAGACCAATGTCACTCAAAGCGCTTTCACTTTGATAATGTTTAATTATAATGAAAAATGTAAATCATCCATCAAATACAAAGTTTGGTCTGTTTAATTATTGAGTGAATGTCCGTGTTATTCACAAGCTCATGTATTTCTGTTATTCAACTAAAATGGTGAAACTAAAATATGATCTACACCATCTGTCCATCCATCCATTTTCTTCCCCTTAATCCATTTCTTGGTCGGGGGGGTGGCAGTCAGAGCTGCACCCAGTCACTTAGCACCAGCCCCTCACTGATCCTCCTGCAGGTGGTGAGTCCACAGGAGCTGAGATCTTTCAGCGGGGGCTCCAGGCAAAGTGGGGTTGAGTGTCTTGCCCAAGGACACAACGATAGCAGACATCAGTGGGAGTCATGAAGTAGGTCTTACAGTGGACTCAAACCATGGATCTATTATAATAACTGGATAGGGTATTACTAGCTTGTAGCTGAATAACCCATGTGCTCGGAGGATTCTCGCGGTACTGCAGACTGAACCAGACTAAATTCACGTGGGCTACCCAGAAATTTTCCCCATAGAACTCAATGCATATTAAAACAGCTCGACCTCAGCTGACAGAGAACCTACAGCTTTCATAAAGATCGGATTTTGTGGGGATTTTAGTGTTCCTTGTCATCCTGAACTTTTTTTCTTCTTAAATCCTTTGGTTTTGTTTAAATCCACACTTTAGTGCCACAAACTCTGCTCCTCTGGCTCTCGCTCTAACTCCCGCTCTGATGAACTGCTCTGATTGGTCAGAGCGCAGCCGAGCCCCTCTGTGCACGTGCGTGAGACCCGGTGTGAGACCCACACACGCGTGTTTGGCGCAACGCATTATGGGAGATCATCCACTGCACAGAACCGGGAGGACCAGACGATGCCCAAATACAGGCGAGTTTCCCATAGTTCTTTGCGAGTTTCCCATAGATCTTTGCGAGTTTCCCAAAGTTCTTTGCGACTTTCCCATAGATCTTTGCGAGTTTCCCAAAGTTCTTTGCGAGTTTCCCATAGATCTTTGCGAGTTTCCCAAAGTTCTTTGCGAGTTTCCCATAGATCTTTGCGAGTTTCAGGCAACTTCCGCTAATCTTTTCAGCCCCCATGCCGTCACAAAGCGCCACTGAGCACAACCATTCATTTGAATAGGGCGCCATCTTGGATCGCCGGGGCTTGACTCAAACCCACGACCTTCAGCCTCAAAGGCCAATGCTCTGCCCCAATATGATATACACTTTACACCCAAATGACATCCAAAGTGACTAATGCCAAGTCTTTCTTCATTCTAATGTTGCTCACAGTGCATTTTCAAACATTTCTGAGTAGTTTGATATTTGTATATTTTGTAGTTTTGGTTTTTTTAAAGTCATAATCATCAACATTATAACAAATACAGGCTTGATCTCACTCTGTGTGTAATGAGTCTATTATTAGTTTAATGTTGTTCGTTGAATTTCAAAAGTATTACAGACTTTTGAACAATCTTGTAATTTCCAAATATCACCTGTAGGTTCTAATGTATTTGAACACTGACACTCTGCGCTATACTGTAACATTTGTTTTATGTATTTGTATTTTTTTTCTTTCTTTTTTTTAAAGCTGGAAGACATAAACCTTATTGCTCAAATTCGAAAACCACTATATTATGACCAGACGCTTGACTGACCAGACTCTTTGGTGATAAAACGTCAATGTCTTACACCCGCCACATGTTATTCCAATCCTCCCCACCATTTCCTTTCACCTATAAATGCTGCCATCTTTACCAAACACCCGCGGAACGTCGCTGTTGTGAGTTTGTGGTCAGCTGGAGGTAACTACAGGACTGGGACCACTTTAAACAAGACTCTTTTTTTGCACAAAGTAGGAAGTTCTGCTTGTCTCCTTCCTGTTCCGTGACACTTTGAGCTGTTTTAACCAAACCTCAAACAAAGAATCCTGCCATGTTTCCCTACAGCCTTCTTGTTCTTGTCCTCGTCTTGTCTGTTCGCGGCTGACAGCGACACAATTACACTTTTGGCTGAAAATTTCCGTGTACAAAAAAAACCTCAAATCAGCTCCGTTGAAGTTGTGACATGGGCTCTCTGAAAAGTAATTAACTAAGCGTAGCCTGGAAGATGACGGTGATAGGATGTCTGAGTTGGTTCAGTGGTGGGACACGTGTTTTGGGTGACTTTAAGTCTGGTGAACTTCTGGAAAGGCTCTTATTTTAAGCTGGAATACCTTAGCTTTCAATCCACAAAAATAAGAAAATAAAAAATCTATGCAATATACTATGACTCACAAAATGGTTTGGTTCCGTCTAGTTTTCACATTCATGTCTTTTTTTCAGACAGAAAGCAGAAAAAGAAAGGACTGCATCCTCACTTAGCCAATCACAGGGCTCTAACTTCACTGAAAAACAAAAGATGAAAATTAAGTGAAAAATTGCTCAAATTTGGCAAAATGTATCTTAATCTCACTTATTACAAGGTTTGCAAATGAGATAAGCTAAAGTATCTTGTTTTAAAAAGGTACAAGAAATGTCTCCCTTGGAATGAGAAAATAAAGCAACAGTTCTTGAAATCACTCAATGGCTTGTCCCATTGGCAAATCTTGTTTTAAGCAAGACAGTCAGAATGTGCTCAAATTAAGATAAAACCACTCGATTCAAGCATTATTACTTCATAGTGTATCACTTTTTTTGCAGCGTTACCAGTTTGCAAAAGATGGCATTTTTTCTCATGTTGAAGACGGCAGATTGAGATCAACATTATACTTTCACATTATCCTTTCTGTTGGCACAAACAATGTGTTACTTTACTTATGAGGAAAACAGTTAGGTACCCTAACTTTAATCCATCTCACTCATACTGTATATGTAATATTTTGCATATAGATTGTTTTTTTAGGATGAGAGTTGCAGGTTTCATTTTTATGAGTTCTTGACATCATGACCCTTTAATCCAATTTAGGGTTAGGGTTTAAAAAAATGAAAAAAATTACTTTGAACATCATATAGTATAATTTACGCAATTCAGTTTTACAAGATTTAATTTCCAAAAATGTTGTTTTTTGGTTTAAAAGTTGGAAATTTCTGTGGCGTCACTGTCTGAGGCCTTGCCACATGGTTTTGCTAGAGGAGCATCTGAACATAAGGGATGGGATGTGTTCCAGAACTTCCTCATATTAGCACAGATGGACATTATTCAATATCTTATACAACGGATAAAAAACATCTTCGAGACATACAAAAAGTTCCATATTGCACGTCCTCTAAGGCCGTTTTACTGTGGTCTTTGGCCTTGCATCCTGAATATGTTTTAAAGCGTACCCTCTGTTAAATAAGTTTGGACATCTCTGCCCTACTCAAACTTAAATTACACTCGAACACTTGGAGCATAATTCAGAAACCCAAGACCAACAGCTTTATCCTTCATGATTTGTGATTTGTTTGAAGGCCTTCTCTGGGTGTTCCTTCATTCCGTGTTCATCAATCCATCATGGGAGGATTTTGGAGTCGACTGATCAGAATCCATGGGACATTTCGGAGCCCTGGAACCCGCGCTTAGGACCACCCCGCTCTGGAGAGGCCTGGCGGGGGCGGGTTTGGACAGGCTCCTTTCTGCTGACTATAGGGCTGACTGTGTGACTGCTGGGGCGGCTGGACTTGGCAGCAGATGAAGCCTCGCTGTTGAATTCTTCGATGACACTTGCCCTGGTCTGGTTCGCATTATGAGGTCGACCCACCGGGCTGAGAGCACGGGGGCAGCGCCGTGTTCCAGAGGCCGTGCCCTGGATAATGTCATCTGGGCCGTACAGGGCACATCTGCTGTGACCGTAATGTAACTTAAGAAGAAATAAATGTTAGGATACTCTTTAAGCATATGTTGTTAAAATAGAGGCTTTGGGAGATTGTGTAACCTTTCACACATACACTAGCAAGAAAACATCACAGTATAACATAGATAGCCAGAATAAGAGCTATACTTTGTAAACTTGGAGGGACATTTGGATAACTTTAAAGTAGGGCCCTCTGTCTGTGTCTTGTCTGTTGGATATTCTTGTTTGTCCATACTCTTTCGTATTGCCTTTCTATTGATTGATGCCTGTATGATTGTTCTTGATTGATATTTTTTTGGTTGTAGTTGGGGCATCTTTTTTGTTTTGAATTGTCATTGCCATCTGTCATGAGATGTCAGGCCTTGAAATAATGAAATTATTTTGATTGGAGAGCTACTTTCATAAAACAGAAATGGCAGAGAGCTTTTAGCAGTCGTACAATACAATACAATACATACAATTGTAGTCCATTTCATTACTACAGAACATCATGAATATACCAGTACATACTGTTTCCCTGCATTCCTGAACACGGTTATTGGTAAAATAGTCATGAGTCAAAGGTGAATGATTCAGGATCATGTGTTAAATTCTTAAATGCTTTGGGGAGCTACCACCTGAAAGCGGGTGGCGAGCTAACGGTAGATCCTGATCCACAGGTTGGAGATCCTTTGGACTTGATACAGACTTGAGGCCAGCTTTAAACATTGACCCTTAATCCCACCTCTTAGTATCATTGAGTGACTGTAATTACTTGATCACAGTCACTATGACTAATCGTGACTATGGCAATTTTTGTTGGCATAGTTAATTTGTGAACAAATTTTACATATGCACTAATTAAAAGTGAGGAAAGGTAAAAAACATATGAATAACTTTCTTTTAATACATCTGCGGGAAAACTATTATTGGTTTGAATGGGAGCAGTTAAAATGACGGCTCTGGAAGTTCTAGTGGTTTCAGAATTCTGGGAGTCCTGGTATTAAAAGACCAAACAAACTCTAAATCCTAAAGAATTCCCAATATTTGATGTCCATAATACTGGGTGCTTATAAGTTTGACTTCTTTCCATTCTATTTCGGGCTTCAACAAAGGAATCGCTAAAACTTTATGTTAATTTATACTAATGTATCATGTATACAAACCTACATACTACTCTACATTGCAATATTTGGTTCTTGTTCATAAGTTTGAAATGAATAAATAAATAAGTGACAGTGACACAAAATAATCAATACAATTGTTTTAACTTATCGGATTGTACATTCTGTTGATATTAAAACAATATTTGCAAATAGGACCTGCAAAAATTACTTTTTCTTAAAAAAATAAAAATAAAATCTTACCTGAAACATATTGCTACCACCCTCAAAGTAGGAAACGTTGGCTTGTCCCATTGGTAAATCTGGTTCTAAATATACTTAAGTCAAAATGAATGATGAGTATGTGCAGTCCACAGTCGCTCACATTGACCCATAGGAACTGCAGTATATAAAATATGTATGTATTCATTCATTAATGTATGTATTTATATTTATGCTTATTTATATTGCATGTTATGGGGAATTGCGATTGTTCTCTTCACAGACCACAGCTCGCTCCCCCCGTCAGTCCACTGCCTCCTCTGTCCCCCAGTCAATCACCAATCAGATATCGCTCTGCAGAGGAAAAGACGGAGAAGACTTTAGAACAGAGGAAGGTCAGGGTCCACGCGTCTGCTGCCGTGTCCCTCCCAGCGCTGATGTCCACCGACTGACTGAGTGACGTCTTCTTGTCCCACTCGAGTCCTGCGAGCCATGCCCCAACCACGCCACCTGATACAGACCCTTATCCCCCCACCGCAGCCACCCAAACAAACAAACAAGCCGAGGGGACGGACGGGACCCAAAACTGGAGCCCGCACCCCTCGGCCAGGCGCTCCCCCCTCACAGCGTCGCCTCCTCCTCCCTCTGGCCCAGCGTTGACTTTGCGGTGGTCACTCTAAAGCACGAGCCGATCTGACAGCTGCCCGCGTGCGTCTGAGGGAAAGTCAGCCCCAACTTCAGGCTAAAGTCACATTAGACAATTGATAATGGCTGACCTTCTTGACAGGGTTTTGTGATTTGAAAGTCGATTATTCCCAAAGTGGAAAGTACACCCCTTTAGTTTATAGCCTGGAACAGTCAAATATAGAGCTTAATCTACAGTATTTTACCGATATCATTTACGTTTACTTTTTTGAGATGTTTAAAAAAAAAATTGGCTTATGTTATTCGATTTGACTTTGACAGACATTCATTCATGTTTGACCACAGACCAATAAATACATATTTTAGCTTTGCATTTCTTGACACCAGCTTCAAGCCAGCTCATTTGCATTGCATATAGAACTGCACTCTTAATACACTTTTAAAGCCGGGGTACCTAACATTTTTAATTACATATCAATAAAACATGTCCCAACAGAAATCAGTTCTAGAAATTAACATTGTACATTTCCTATACTGTTAAGACAAATCCCTGTGCGTCACTAACTGACACTTTGGGATGAGAGCTTTTCTGTCTGTACATACGTTTGTTTAATTTCCATTTCATGTGGTTTGAAATTAAAGCACACCGCCTTAAACTTTAATTCAATCAAGCGAAAATCATAGTTTTTAATAAAATATATGATTATTTTCTCAGTCTATATTGTATGAACTGGGAAATATGCATGCTTGTCATTCAAAAGATAGACTATTTGTTATGGCAACCGCGGCAAATCCATAATTTGCCAAATAGACATGACATTTGCATAAGAAATCCATTGACCTAATCAATCCCCACAAGCTAAGCCACATTTCCAGCCGTATTACATCACACATTTCCATTGCCCGCGAGTGCACAGGGCATTTGTTGGATCACAGTGTCCACATTAACTGTTCACTTTGATATTTGAGCAGAAATGTCAGTCTCCGTCTCGTCCAGCTTTTTTTGCGAGTCCAATGGCACCTCTCCAAAGACCAGATCTCCGCCGCTGTGCAAAAGTCAACACCCAACAGCACATGAGACGTACCAAAGCGTTTGCTAATCAGTGTCCGGGTCAGCATGTAACAGAATATCTTTGGCCAGTGAAATGGGGCTTCACTTTGATCAATTTGAAGTATTCTATTTGAACAAGTCATTTGGCTCAAGGCTGAAACTTCTCTGGGACACGGCGCGCCAGAGCGGGCAGCCCAGGGGTTAACGCTGTGATGTTTGGACCAAAACTTGTTTATTTATTTCCTGTCAAGCCCATCAAGGCTCGCAGTAGACCCCGGTTCAGTCGAGTTGTGTCCCACAGAGATATTTGGAGCACAGATCTAAAAGGAATTTGCTTTTAACTTGCCCGAAGATTACGATTGATGCAAAGAGATTTTTTAATGCTCGGAATATTCAACTTACTGGTTTTGGATGTAGCATAAAGTTGGAAAAGTAATGGGTCACTTACTGTTGCCTTAGATTGAACTATTAGGTATTTAGGTAAAGTAGTGTTGTAGAACTTTTAGTTTGGAGGCTGTGGTTGGAACTTCACATCAGGGAGTTCCCTGCAGTTTCAGGCATAGACATATTTATCAGTGTGGAGGTGTAAAAACATTTTTGGGGTTGGATTTTATTAGACCTACTGCCATTTTTATATTTTAAATTGTTTTTACAATTGGGATACAGTGCCAATATTGTGATACAGAACTAATATTGTGGCACTGTATCACTGTCTGTAAGAGAACTTCTGTAACTGTTGTACTTACGCCTCGTTTCTCAAACTATACGTGCATAGGCCTGATGCATCAGCCAGTTTCATTTCACTTTGTGGAAACTGTCTGAAAATGCGACATTATGATTAGTTTTCTCCACAGAGGGAGAGTACCCTTTTGCTTGCTGCCGTTTAGTCGTAACGTGTATAGGAAGTAGTTCCCGGGCATTTTCAAACACGCATGTATCGCTCGGTCTATCCATCTTCATTGCTATTTCATGCTTTGTTGAATTACTTTACTTCCTGGTTCTCAGAGCTTTTTGCGATACCTGACGTAATAGCTGGGATGAAATGAAATTGAGTGGAGGCACTATTTGGTGCCAGCCTGGCTATTAAACTGCAGGTGCAAAGAAAAAAGGCAATTGCCCTGATATAATGATAGATCTGTTTGAGACGCCAGTCACTTTTGCACGTGAGCAAATGCTTTATAATTGAGGCTCTTAGTTTTTGTGGTATAGGAGAAATCTACAGACACATGGAGAACATGCAAAGGCCCAGTCAAACACAGGTTGTTCTTACTGTGAGGTGAGACCACAAACCACTGTTTTGCCATTGTGTGTGTGTGCATGTGTATGTGCGCCAAAAACAAAAATGGCAGGTCAATGGGATTGTGCTTATTTTTGTGTTTTTAAATTGCAAAGCACTTTGTGTTACACTTGAAAAGTGTATGGAAAGCACTTTATAAACAAAACGTGGTGGATTGATCATAATCATATGGTTCATATTGGCATTATATGGAAGTGTTAAAGGACATAATTCCTTTTTTTTTTTCTTTTTTTTTTTTTTTTTTAAATATTTTTTTATTACATTTTAACACAATTACAAGAATGAAAACATAAAAGAAAGAAATAAAACAAAATTATATTCGAAATCTAATATATACGGTTTACAAATACAGTAGGTGTTAAGGTGGGAGGGGTTGGGGTGGAGGGGGAGAGTAAAAAAAATAAAATAAAATTATTCGGGTTGCGTTTTTTATTGTTTCAGTTCTGCCTTGGTTTGGGGAGTTTCTGTATATGTATGTGAATGTGTATGCAATGCAGGGGTGCATAGGTGCTATGTCGAATGTGGTCAAATGAGTCTATATATTTAACCAAAAAAAACAAAAAAATACAAAAAAACAAAAAGGGTTTATATATATATACACATCATCATCGCTATCACTATTATCATCGTCATTGCCACAATCATTACCCATTGCTAATTTTATCTTGCTGAGTTTTGGTGAAAAATAATAATAGTAAGTAGTAGTAGCAAATAATAATAGTAAGTAGTAGTAGTAGTAGTAAATAATAATAGTAAGTAGTAGTAGTAATCTTTATTTATATACCGCCTTTTCACTGCAGATCTGAGTCTCAAAGCGGTTTACAATTGTTTTTATTTTTGGGCATTTGTCTCTCACTCCACACAGAGATGGGAGCAGGGTCGCCAGTACAGGAGGCGCATGTCAGAACTATCGTACATATTTTTAGTGTATAAATAGTAGAATAAATGACAATAATAATAAATAATTAATATTAACAAAAATAAACAAACAAATAATAATAATAATGAAAAGCAGAGCGTGTTGCGAGCGGGCTCACTCAACAGGCCCTGCTTGTCCTCTTGTCAGTCCTGTGAGGTGCATTAAAAAAACAAGAAATTTGTGGGGCCGATGAGGTGGGAGGTACCCCACATCGGCCCCCTTCTTGTCTGCCCTGTTGTTCTCTATGTTATGTAAATTTGATTTGTTCATTTATTTTATCAACACAACGTTATATATATTCTTTTTCTTTCCTTCTTTCCTCCCTTTTCCAGTACCTGATTGTAATCTTGGATATAATGTGTATAGTTTGTTCAGATATCCAATTTAAGTGAGAGTGGAAATGTAAATAATAATAATTATAATAATAATAATTATAATAACAATTATAATAACAATAATGACAATAACAACAATAACAGCAACGTGAGGAAGTAAGTAAACAAATAAATATATGGAAATAAATGATCCTAAATTCATATATAAATAATAATAGTAACTGATTTAAACTTATCTATTTGGAGAGGACATAATTCCAATTTGAAATATATTTTTGCAAATATTTTTTTTATTTTATCTTTAGTTTTATGGTTTTCCATTCCCAGCAAACCCATGTTTAATTTACTCAAAAATACATTTGATTTGGAAACAATTCACTATATTAAAAGTACTCTTGAAGCACCTCTCTCCTATTTTTTCATGTTGACCAGAACTGACTCCAGATCAGCCAGTCTCTGCCTCTGTGCTTGTGTGCAGCTCAGAGCACTGCGGGAGCTCCATAGTCTCTAATGAAAGTCATGAGAGAAGAGGGCACAGGAAATTTGGTAATGGCATGTACCAGAAACATACTGTTCCACTGCTTTTCATAATTGTGAACCAAAAACAATCACACAGATGTATCCATAGAGACTGAAACCAGCAAATGCTGTACTTTTATTTATTTTTTTGCCTTGTAAGACATTTATTGGAAAGTCAAAAACAATCTTTTACAATTAGACTGTCAGTCAAAAAATCAATAAGAAAAAACTGAGAAATTAATCGTTCAGTCAAGGTGTTCATTCTGGTCAGCAGCTTGTTTTGTAGTTAATAAAAAAACACAAACACCATTTTTATAACATAGATTTAGTGACATTCAAAAAATTTACACATTTTAACAGAGGCTTTTGAACCCATTGTAAAAAGAAAAATCGTTGATATAATGTCGGCCTGATGGCAGTGTGTCTGTAAGTTCCCACGAGGGGACATTGATTTTGCAGAGAGAAAACTTATGGGACAGGCTGCTGCATGTGGCTGCAGAACAGCACCACCAACAAATACTTAATATCAGATTAAGTGCATTGTTATATCAGTATGTTGTGTTAGTGCTGCAGTAAAGCTGACACAGCCTCCTCATGGTCAGTGTGTGCGCAGCAGTAGATAAAGTATCTCATGTTTACACACTGTTCACATTTCTCTCTGTGGCTCTAAACCCCAGCCTTAATAAAGCTCCCTCTCTCTTTTCATAAATGTCTGGAGGGCAAACAGCTAAAGGAGCGGGGTGGGCTTGTACCTCCGGCCCTTTTAATTGGCGGGGCCCTGGGGCCCGAGGGCCGAGCTGTTACCTGTGTGAAGGAGGCGATTAATGCGTCCCCTTTGACCGCACCGGGCCCGGCTCTGCAGAGACGCGCTCTAATTAATCCACTCTTACTGTTGTAATAGGCCACTCCTCAGGGAGCGCTCGGCCGCGCTATAAGCCCCAAATATGATTTCTCTGTTACATGGTAAACAACAGCCCCTCTCGCGGGACGGACGGATGAAAGAGGAGGAGAGAGAAAATACCGTCTGATTGTAGCTCAGAGTGACGCGTGCCTGACACTCATTGAAGTTTATTGCAGTTAGATTTTTACATAGCTCTGTGAAGTACTTTGCACATCCAGCAATTTTCTCTTTTATCTAAAAGCCGCATTAAAGCAACTTAAACGCAGCCCAAGCTGCAGTGACATTTTTTAAACTGCACTCATCACTTATATGCAGTGTAATTGCTGCTACAGTGGTCATTGTTCTGCACCTGTGGACACAGCTGAGCCAATGTGGTTTAACTTAGCACTTACTTTACATTTGTACTTGTCTGCAGGGTTATAGAGAGACTAAAGTGGCTCACTACTGTTATTATTATTATTAATGAGGCCCATTTCACATTTAACTACATCGTCAGAGTGTTTTAAAGGCAGTGAGCATGGTTCTGTGTCCTCTCTTCACTCGGTGGTCACAGCTCTGTGGACATCCCTGTCAGCCCTCTGCCCCAGCGCTTCCACCTCTGCTGCATGAAGTCATCACTTTGCAGCCGCTGGTCCTGCTCTTATCTGTGTGTGAAACATGTGCTAGCATCATTAGCCGCTGACTGAGTCCATTTGAGTCCGTTTAGCACCTCCTGCACCTCGCCTGCAGCCGCTAATCTGTGAGCTTTAGCACTGTGGCCCAAGCACTGCACGCTGGACTGGGTCGCCCTCACACTGCCAAAGAGCACTCGTAAAGCAAAGGCCGGCTGTCAACATGCTGTTTAAAGGGCTGGTGGGTGGGATTGGCACGGACACAGACAGAAGTGCTTCCTAAGTAGCAGCTCATGAAGTCACTGGACTAAATGTCAAGTCAACTTTCTTAATCACAGGTTCTTGAAAGGCCACAAGTACAGAACAATTCATGATTATAAGATCCATCCATCCATCCATCCATCTTCTTCCCCTTAATCCATTTCTGGGTCGGGGGGGTGGCCAGAGATGCCACCCAGTACACAGAGCACCAGCCCCTCACTGATC